TATATATATATATATATATATATATATATATATATATATATATAGTTTACCAAGTGGAAGGAGAAAAAAAATATGAAGTATTTATTAGATTCTTTACTTCCACGTGGTAAACTATAAGCTACATTCCGTTTACTTTTAGAATTGTCTTATTCTGTCTGGTCTTATTCTTGTAGACCGAGTAAACAACTGACAACAGCAAGAAAGATTATAAATATATATAGTTTACCAAGTGGAAGGAGAAAAAAAATATGAAGTATTTATTAGATTCTTTACTTCCACGTGGTAAACTATAAGCTACATTCCGTTTACTTTTAGAATTGTCTTATTCTGTCTGGTCTTATTCTTGTAGACCGAGTAAACAACTGACAACAGCAAGAAAGATTATAAAAGTTTACAAAATGAACCATTTTATATATATATATATACAGTATCAGTCAACACTGTTGACCTGTAAAAAGTTTGTTTTTTAAAAAAAATCTTTTGACTTTAAAAACTGCCTGAATCAAACTGAACTCAAGTAGCTAAGCAACCAAATCTATCCAGTATGTGAACACATGAAGTATTTACAAACAGCGCACAGAGTAACAGTGTTGTCTAGCACATCGGTGTAGAAGCAGCCTACCTGAGATACAGCACAGAAATGTGAATATTGAAAGGCAGGTGTGAAGTTTTGCTGAAGTCAGCGTCTCCATGGCTCAGCATGTGAAGAGTGTCCGCTCTGCGCGCGCTAGTCCGTATTAACACTGCGCGTGAAGTAGATAACGGTTATCTACAAACAAATCAAAGCGCTGAGACTCGTTCAAGTGTCTTAAAACTGTGTGTTCTCCTTAAAACAAGCGACGTTCACCGTGGGAAGACCGCTGCTACATCCAAGCTGGAAATCATCTTTGACTCCTCAGAATTCAGTGGAATGAGATTGAACAAGTGTCCGTTTGTTCCCAGAAGATTCTCTCAGCGCTGTAGTTTCTTTACGCACTACACAGACAGCACAGAGAGTGCGGTGAGCACTACAGGTACTTCAGTCCGTGCGTAATGACCGCTCGGCGAGCTGTTGCACCTGCTCTCGCGGGGAACGCCCCGCCCCCGAGTGCACGGACACGTCATCACTCCAGGTACAGGTGACTTCTGCTTGAGAACCATAGATAGATAGATAGATATTTTGACAAATAACTATTTGACAATTAACCAGTTATGATTATAGTTATATAAACTAGTACAATAGGTAACACTTTAGCAATTTTATTACATTTTCCTTTTACTACCAAGTCATTATCAAAACCTTATATAATGCTTTACAGATCAGTAGCCTAGTTCATGTACATACTTATGGTTAATATATGACCATGATGACTGCAGTCACAGGTCATTGTACACAGTATCAATTACCCAGGTTGACTTTCCAACTCTTTAAAAGTCTGAAGACCAATACAAATACAGTCAGGCTGCTCTTGTGTTGTTCAGTTAGACGGGACAGCAGCACTAATGTTGTGTAGTTCTTTTATCTCTTGAAATGATAATGCAACAGGACAGGGAGTGGGGCTTGTCGTGGCGGTACAGTGGTCTCAGCCCTCGGAGGTGAATACCTCCTCACTCCTGTTTCTTTAGGATGGCATGTTGCCATGGAAACGGGGCTGAGGTGGATGCAGTCGGACTGCTGGGTTATTAGGGGCAGATGAGCTCAGTTCTGTGATGACACCCTGGGCTGCTTGGAAACAATCATGTGGTTTTGCAGTCAAAGCTAATATCTTAAACACACTCGAGCACCTCGGGCGAACTGCATCCACCAAAACCTCCTCACTCCTGTTTCTTTAGGATGGCATGTTGCCATGGAAACGGGGCTGAGGCGGATGCAGTCGGACTGCTGGGTTATTAGGGGCAGATGAGCTCAGTTCTGTGATGACACCCTGGGCTGCTTGGAAACAATCATGTGGTTTTGCAGTCAAAGCTAATATCTTGAGCACCTCGGGCGAACTGCATCCACCAACAATTCAGAGGACAGGGTTAGTTGGGGTGTGTGGGATCAAATAAACACATGTTTCAGCTTCAATAGTACACACCGTGACACAGAAGGTCATTTTTACTTTTTAAACCACGATAAAAACGTCACAACATATAAAAAAAAACACGCTCTGGAGGCCATTCTCAAGGCAAAACTGACCGATTCAGAGCTGTAACAGCATCGACCAAAGGTCAGGCACACAGGCACACAAGAGAGCCACAATCATCTCACAGTTCCCAGACCAGCAAACAGAAAAGATAATGACGTGAACATGAGCTGCAGTGTAATTTAGGTCCATCATTTATGACCACACACAGCTCAACCATAAACAACCAGGAGATAAGAATGAAAAACCGTGAGGGTTCAGCATTTTACAGCCTTTCTTGTTTTATTTCCCTTGTTGCCAATTAGTTATAGGAAACATGCATTGTAGCCAAAGAGACAGAATAAGTCGGGTAAGCTGTCGTTTGTATTTTTTTGTCGTTTATTGATTTTTATTAATTAATTTTTATAATTTAAAAAATGATTATTTTTATCACAATAGTTATATATATATATATATATATATATATATATATATATGTACACACAACAATGATTCAAAACAAACATATATACAAATATAATAATAAATATATAAAGAAATAAATCAGTTTTATTTTGATTATATACAATCAAAAGCTGATTTACAATTATGAAAAATTATAATATAATAATGGAAAATACATAAAACTAATTATTATTATTATTATTATGCTGTTGTTGTTGTTATTCACACACACAGTAATAACGAGAATAATTAAATAATAATTATAATAACTTAATTGTAAATTAGTTTCTGTCTGATTTATATCATTGGTGGTTTAACAGTATTAATAAAAGTATTAATTGTGTTCTTATAGATGTATTTCTTATGTACGGCATTTATGCCTTTTGTGACTTTAGAATTCATAAGGACACATGTAATATTAGAGCTAAAGAAAAAGAAAAGCGAAATAAAGGTTAAAAAAACAACAAACACAAGGATTGAATAAATACCCATGAGTTAAAGATGCTACGAATAAAGAGAAATCGATGGGGAACACTTATCATGTTCAATAATAATAAGCGTTATATATTTTAGTCACCGTCCAGAGAAATCAATCACTAACGCAAATAATAAATGTTTGGGGTTCGAAAAAGTGTAGCAACCTCCATTGGGAGTGTTTTTTTCCCCCCTGGCCGAGGGAGATACTCATCTCATATGACAGGCTAAGCAGGGAAATTAGACTTTGCGTTTGAATTATTGATTCTCTTTAGCACATGCTCGACCAACGCCAGCTCTCCAACTACCTTTGCAACACCACAAAAGAGGTTTACTACACAAGCAGCATTACAAAGAGAAAGTGCACATTGTGCTAAATAAAACACTATACAGTCTTCTGATTTGGGGCATAATTCACTGCATCAGGGTCAAAATGAACTATTGTATGTTTTAAGAATGACAAAATGCACTTTACTTCACATGTTTGACAGGTACTTTCACATGCACTACTTAGGGCCAATAAGTAGTAATCTAATACTTAATTTACTATTCTAGAATGTCAATGTGACATTAATGGACACTTTTTTAATGGACACAGCTTTCAGACACTCCCAGATATTTACCGCCACCTGCTGGTCACATAACCGACCATGTGTTTCTGCAGGTTTTATGAAGGTAAATTTAAGAAGACCTTTTAAAATTTAAATGTCTTGTATTAGCAACACTTCAAAGTTTCAAATAGAATTCCAACACATCTCCATTACTCCATTCATTCATATATAAAAAAAGTTTATAGCTTGAATACCTCTGCTCCCAACAACTATAAATATGGAAATAACTTATCACACGTTCTGATCACACTGCAGGAAAAAGTGTTTTTCATCTGTATTTTAGTCTTGCTTTCCAGTGCAAATGTCTAAAGAGAATAACAAGTCTTGTTTTGTGATAGATTTATTTCGATCAATATGATGAGAGTTTATGATTAAAACTATTGTATTCCTCAATTGTATGTCGCTTTGGAAAAAAGCATCTAAATGAATAAATGTAAATGCAAAATCAGTAGACTCAGAAAAATCAATCTTATTCAAGGGGAAGCAAGTTTGCATTCCCCACTGATTTGTTCTTGTTTTAATCATAAACTCACTTAATTTTTTCTCAGTAAACAAATTCCAGTTCAAATTGCATCTCAAGTAAATGTAGCTTAATTTAATGATGTTTAGATATTTGTATTGAAAAACAGAACAAAAATACAGAGGATGATACTTGTTATTTATTTGTGCAGTGCATAGAATATTTAATGCCATGACTTAATGACTTAAGACTTTTTTAAGACCCACAGCAACCACGGTTGAAGCAAACTTATTAAAGATAAATTAAACGTATATAATTAATGTTTTACTCTGAAAGGTCTTTATAAATAAAAACACCTAAAATGGACCAATTTAAAAACAAAGTAAATTTGAAAAACACTTCATTTTACTCCGGTTTATTTTTTTTGTCCTTCCAAACATGTAAACAAGACTGTGACCTGGAAACAATCATACATAAAGACACCGTGTGATCCGACAAATAAAAAACAAACATTGATAAACGGTTTATGAAAAACATTCTTTGAATGCTAGAATTAGAAATGCTGGAATGCTGGACAATATCAATATATACTCTTAAATATATATACACTTCTATATAGATAGACTTTATACTTAGATTCTTTAAGAGTTCTCATTAAGGATTCTTTTTTTCTGACCGTTCCTGCATTTGGATCTCGAGAGATTTAAATAAAAGGCAGTTTGCTCCCGTTTACGCTCCCTGATAAAGACAATTACTGCAAAGGAGATTATTCGGCCCCTTTCGGAACAGACTGTGCCTGACATACCACATAAATACTTTGAGTTCAAGTCTATATTTCAAAATACTGGCTTTAAAGAGCATCATTGGCAAATGTAACCGCTACAGTGCATCCTTCTTGTTGAACTTTAACGAATAACCAATCGCAGTCTCTAAACATTCCACTAAAGATCCGGCGGAGAGAAAGTCCAGCTCCACCTCGATAAACTTAATGTAGATGTGTAATCCAGAGAGGACGCCCTCCTTGGTCTGGCCGGTGCAGTTGTCCTGCAGGAACCTGGTTACGGCCGAAGGCTCCCCTCGGCTGTAGTGTTTGCCTGAAGTCTGAAAGTGCTGGAACAGACACTGCTGTAGCGTCCTTTCCTCTGCAATGCCGAGGTAACAGTAAGTGACTTTGGATGATGTCCTCTTGTCCTTTTCCACGCTCTCGCAATGGTCCGTCTCCTCCTCGTCCTGTGAGGGGGAGGACATGTCATCTGTGCTAGACGAAGAATTGGACCTGCTCATCTCCTCGTAGCCTATTGCATACAGGCCATATGTTTTTGGGATGCCCCCTGGCAGGAGGTACTGGGAGCCGTTGCTGCAGCAAAATCAGTAGACTCAGAAAAATCAATCTTATTCAAGGGGAAGCAAGTTTGCATTCCCCACTGATTTGTTCTTGTTTTAATCATAAACTCACTTAATTTTTTCTCAGTAAACAAATTCCAGTTCAAATTGCATCTCAAGTAAATGTAGCTTAATTTAATGATGTTTAGATATTTGTATTGAAAAACAGAACAAAAATACAGAGGATGATACTTGTTATTTATTTGTGCAGTGCATAGAATATTTAATGCCATGACTTAATGACTTAAGACTTTTTTAAGACCCACAGCAACCACGGTTGAAGCAAACTTATTAAAGATAAATTAAACGTATATAATTAATGTTTTACTCTGAAAGGTCTTTATAAATAAAAACACCTAAAATGGACCAATTTAAAAACAAAGTAAATTTGAAAAACACTTCATTTTACTCCGGTTTATTTTTTTTGTCCTTCCAAACATGTAAACAAGACTGTGACCTGGAAACAATCATACATAAAGACACCGTGTGATCCGACAAATAAAAAACAAACATTGATAAACGGTTTATGAAAAACATTCTTTGAATGCTAGAATTAGAAATGCTGGAATGCTGGACAATATCAATATATACTCTTAAATATATATTTATACTTTTATATAGATAGACTTTATACTTAGATTAATTAAGAGTTCTCATTAAGGATTCTTTTTTTTCTTTTTTCGGACAGTTCCTGCATTTGGATCTCAAGAGATTTAAATAAAGGCAGTTTGCTCCCGTTTACGCTCCCTGATAAAGACAATTACTGCAAAGGAGATTATTCGGCCCCTTTCGGAACAGACTGTGCCTGACATACCACATAAATACTTTGAGTTCAAGTCTATATTTCAAAATACTGGCTTTAAAGAGCATCATTGGCAAATGTAACCGCTACAGTGCATCCTTCTTGTTGAACTTTAACGAATAACCAATCGCAGTCTCTAAACATTCCACTAAAGATCCGGCGGAGAGAAAGTCCAGCTCCACCTCGATAAACTTAATGTAGATGTATAATCCAGAGAGGGTACCCTCCTTGGCCTGGCCGGTGCAGTTGTCCTGCAGGAACCTGGTTACGGCCGAAGGCTCCCCTCGGCTGTAGTGTTTGCCTGAAGTCTGAAAGTGCTGGAACAGACACTGCTGTAGCGTCCTTTCCTCTGCAATGCCGAGGTAACAGTAAGTGACTTTGGATGATGTCCTCTTGTCCTTTTCCACGCTCTCGCAATGGTCCGTCTCCTCCTCGTCCTGTGAGGGGGAGGACATGTCATCTGTGCTAGACGAAGAATTGGACCTGCTCATCTCCTCGTAGCCTATTGCATACAGGCCATATGTTTTTGGGATGCCCCCTGGCAGGAGGTACTGGGAGCCGTTGCTGCACCCTGCCGCTCTCGTCTGTGCGATCGGGATCCAGTCCACTTCCATGTGCAGCTCCAAACAGCGAGCTTCACTAATAGTGATGTCTAGGAACTTATAATACACGTTTTTCCAGTTCATTTTCTGCACCTTGGTCATGATAACCCTGCCCTCGGCCTTCTCAGGGTTGAAGTATTCCCGCAGTCGTTTTCCCAGAGGGACCTGTGAGCTGATTTCTGCATAGTGGTAGCGAATCTCCTCTCTCCAGCGCGTGTTGTAGCCCACTCCGAAGATGGCCAGCTTATTGGACAGGTGGAGGCGGGAGAAGTCAGTCCATGTCTGGAAGTGCTCCCACTTGACCTCCACTGACTCCAGGATACGCATCACGTTCTCCATCACTTCCTGGCGTCTAAAGAAAGTACGAGGAGAGAAGGAAGTGAGTGGAAATTCTGTAATTAAAAGGACTGGGAAACAGGACACCGGTTCAAACTTACTGAGTGTGCTCAGATGGCTCCAGTCGTATCTGAAGAACTCTGGTTTTTGGAAGCTGGTTGTCTTCTGTGAAAGACGAGATTGCATTATTTGAGATTTTAGAAAATATGCACATGGCATTAGACTTTGAGTTGGGTCTGAAATGTGCCAAATTTTCATAGATTGTGGATGATCACTAGGCCCACACTGAATATGAATATAACAAATTTTAGCAGAAGATTGGAAATCTGCAGAATTCTGCCAATTATTAAAATACAATTATTCATTGCAGAAAAACTTAAAACAAAAGTAAAAAAAATCATATTATACATATGCATAAATACATATATAATATTGATAAATACATACTATTGATTTAGGGTCGTACATTTTTTTATGTTTTTGAAAGTCTCCCATGCTGCATTTATTTGATCAAAAATACAGTAATATTGTGAAATATTATTATAATCATAACTGTTGATATAATTTTTTCCCCAAAGTAATTTATTTCTGCAACGACAAAGCTGAATTTTCATCTTCCATTACTTCAGTCTTCAGTATCACATGATCCTAGAAATTATTCTAATATGCTGATTTGATGCTCAAGAAAAAAAAAGATCATTGTTGAAAAAAAGTTGTGCCACTTACTATTTTTGTGGAAAAAATACTATATATATATATATATTAGAAATATTTCAGAATTCTTTGATGAAAATAAAATTCAAAAGAACAACATTTATTTGAAAATAATTGTTTTATAACACCGTAAAAGACTTTAATGTCATTTTGATAATTTTAATGTGTCTTTAAAAAATTAACCTCCTGAACAGAAGTGTATGTATATACTGCAAGTTAAAAATATGTAACTAAATTATCTCTAAACTGTGGACTGGTGAGGTATGAACCTAAAATCTTTCAGATGCTTGCCAAAATGTTGCACCACTAGTGTACAACTCTCCTTTTTAAAGAGGAGGAGGATACTACAATTATGACTTTAAACTGCACTGCAAAGAGATTATTGCATTCACCTGTTTCTATGTCTCCCTCATTGAAGGCAGCAGAAAGGTCCTGATTACACCAGTCTTCCTGAGAGTAGTCCTCCATCGTACTGCCGTCTGACTCCATCTCCTGGTAGAGCCCGCTGCTGTTGATCAGCACAGGCTGACAGCTTTGAGAATCCCAGCCGCCCTGCCCGAACACCTTCTCCAGCTGTTCGATGGAGTAACTGCTCTTCCTCTTCCCAATGCCGTGCTCTTTCACCCGGCTATAACAACGTCTCAGCGTCTGCAGACGACAGTCATGTTTATAGATACAGCAATACATGCACACTGTATTTGAAACAATTAAGACTGAGACGTACATCACAAATAATCAACTGCTAGTCAGAAACCATGCAGAACAGCTATCTTAGTACTTACAGCACTTACACTTAAAAATAGACACTCAATTATTATCATCTTTTCACATCTGATAGCGATGCATGGCCTTATAAAATATCTAGTGCACACACTAGATACTTCTTCGGACATCATAAAAATGCGACATGCCGCTTTTTGCGTACTATATAGCAGGGATGTACGCAAATTCAGATGCAGTGAAAGCAGTGCGAAAGTTGGGTGGTATGGGGCATCAGTTAAAGATTTGGGGTAGTTATCAAAAGGGTGTAGGTTTGAACCCTGCTATAACTCTGGTCACATTGGTTTCAAATGTAATGTATATAGAAAATAATTAATATATAATATATCACTCATGTTGTGGGTGGCATAAGAGATTTACAGGTAAATGTTGGAGTAAATAAAAATAAGTAAATGCTTGATATTTAAAATATGAAACAATTAGTCATACATTAATGGACATGTAAAATAATCTAAAAAAGAAAATAATTACATGAAGCTATAGAATGCATAATATTAAATTCAAGTAAAGTGTCTACTTTAATGTTTCTAATAACTTTTAAAATTCTAAATAAATATGCATGAAATAATGTTCCTTTGTCATTCAGCGTAACAGATATATTTATGTAAAAATGATACAACATACTTAAAACATATAAAAGAACAAGTGATCCCTCCAAATTTGACTATATATTCAATTATTACAAAATTGGGTGAAATCTAGTGGTTTGAAGGATAGTGGCAGAGATGTAAAATTACAGTTAATTCGTTTTTGGGGTCTGCACTGTGGTCCTTAGAGTCTTTTAATGTCTAATGATTCTGGGTCTGAATATGGATGGACATTGAAGCCTTTATATTTTATGTTAATTTGTGGTATCTAAACTTCAATGCCCCAATCAAAGCGTTTTGTGTTGTTTTTATTTTGACATTTTACCAAAGCTATGTGGAGACAATCTACCATAAACATCACAACAACTCCATGATCATAACTGACAGCAATCATTCAAATAAGCTTGAGACGAGACAGATCGATGCTTTGTGTCTTGATTTTGACAGCTTCACCAAAGCTCTGTGTAACAAAATCAAACAGCCAAATAAACATGACAACAAGCCTCGAAGCAAATCTGAGTGACAGCCATGTGTTTGGATGTCTTATTTACCTTCATCCTCTCTCGGCACTGGGATGGGGTCCTTTCGTAACCCAGCTCTGACAGCGCTCTGGACACCCGCTCGTACATCGCGGGTCCCGGCGCCTTGCCAGAGAACACCGTCCCGGCCACCTCCAGCTGCTGTATCCGCGCCTCCGCCAGCCTTTCGTTGCCCCACACGGCGATCAGCGCGTTTGTCTCGGACGGTGTCCACGACATGCCTCGGCAAGCGGTGAAGCTGTTGGAGGCAGAGGCCGATCCACTCCGGCCTGCGCCCCCGGACAGCGAAACCCCGACGTTCAGAGGAGAGAATCTATTAGGGGTGGAGGGGTTGGAATGGTATTGGTTGCTGTCACTCAGATCCTCGGATTCTGGGGAAGGAACCTCGGTTTTGGGAATCTTCAGCGGCACTGACAGATCAGGAGAACGTTCGGCGTTACTGGGGGCCGCCATCTTGCCTCTGTTGCTAAGGGGAGGAGGCAGAGAGGAGGCGTGCGCGCGCGCTCACTCCAAACACGATTGACAGCTTCATAATATCGAGTTATCATTTTTGCAGCCGATGTCTATTAATATTATGCTACGTATTATAAAT